GTGCAAAACCCTGCATTCCAAGGCACAAAACATTCCTAGAATACTGTTGTCGTTTCCCCCCAACCCCCGAGAACACATGGATCTATCTGGCCATTCTGTGAATGGTCAGACTGATGCCTCCCTCCACTGAGTACAGGGGACATGGATAAGATTATTTTGGTAGTTACATATTTTCTTTCCAAAAAGATATTTCAAGACAGCTAACAAATTTTAAAATAATCTAAAGCTACACTAAAAATATATAAAAATATTTATTTCATTGCTAAGTTACTATTAAAATCAGAAAATATTTGACATAAATACATTGAAAGTAAGTTATGGATTAAAATGTGTGCCCTGTAACATATAAATACACATAGAACTGGATGACAGACAATTTCAATCCCCTGCCAAAAATATTTTTTATAAAGAGTAAGAAAAAATCCATAATTCAAATAAGGGACATCTGTTCTCCAGTATTTATAAATAATGATGGATCAAGTATCTGCATACAGGATAATTATTTTCAGCAGATGGCTTATCAGTATTTTTTTTTAAATCTGAAAATGGGAGGAAATTGTCCTTGTGTGATTTCTGCAGAATGTAATTTTTTTTCTCTAAAGCAGAAAGTAATTTGCAAATGAAGGATTTTTTAGTCTTTACAAGATCTTTAGTCTTTACGAATATCATTATTTATGATCTCATGGCTGATCGTTTTTCAGTAAAACTGGCTCCATATTTTGCTCATTAAGTTTTTATGCTGATGGTGCATTTAGTTTTGCAATGGGAAACCTACTTCTCTTTGCAAAATGCCACCTTTTCTTTGATCTTCTGCTTCTAAGCTATGCTGTTTAGTGTTGAAGCAACTTTTAAAAGCTGAAGTGGGCAGAAAGAAAGATTACCCAAGAGTGAACAAAAATGAAAGGCTCCCTTTCCACAGATACCTGTCCAGTGCTGCTTTAGCATAATGTTAAATGGATATTATTACTAACCATGAGAAGGCAGCTCCAGAGTTCACCCTTTAAAATAGGAGACCATGTGACATCATCCTAGGAACTGTGTTTTTAAGGGAGCCATATTTTTTTTCATATAACTAAGATGAGAAGTAGAATTTCAAAACAACAGAAACTATTATCAATTTTCACTGCTTCACTGAGTCACCCAACTATTTCCAATTTTAGTTCATACTCAAAACACACAGGCCAACCATAGATGATCGTTAAGGATAAGGAACAAATGAACAAATGGAGTTAAGATATTTTCCAATAATACCACCAAATAAAAGGAGGGATTAATCATTCTTCCCTAACCTAGTAATTTACAAATGAGTGAGATTACAACAGCTCTACTTCCCAGAACCTGGGAATGATATAAATCACACCCCAAGGGAGGGGTCAGATTGGGGACGACTGATATATGTTACTCTGTCTTTTGCTCTAGTAGCATTTATGAGTAATGCCTTATTCTGTTTATTTTTGGTAGATCTAGAACAGCGGTCCGTATCAGGATTTTGTTTGCCCTTGGGGGGCTGGGTGGGGATGGCCTGGTCATTGTGGCCAACTGGGTGGCCATGCTGGGGTGGGCCATGACCACGGCAGTACGGGCCGGTCCCTCGTGGTCTCCAGGATGGCCCCGTGGAACAACTCTGGGCCTATTGCAGACTGGATCTGGCCTATGGGCTGTGTGTTTGACACGTCTGATCTAGAACATTGTATTACTGCATTTTTATTCCTCTCTTCTCTGAAGGAGTTTGGAATAAAATACACAGGTGAGGATATCAGGAAGGAATGGGCGACAGAAGCTATAATAAAAACAACTAACAAACATTTTTTTAAAATAATTCTGTTTAATTACTCAGGAGAGAGAGAGAGAGATCATTTCTTAGGTCACTATGGCAAACGCAAGATGCAGTAAGAAAAAGTCAGCCATGAGATAACTGCCCACAAGGATCTGTCTTTTTGGACAAGTTTTATAGTCCTTCAACCTTTCCTCCCAACCCCCATTGGAGTTGCTTAGATTGCTTTGGGGGAAATAAATCAGGAAATGGTTGCATAGCTTGGCATCAGCAGGAGAAAGTTACATATTAGCAAGGATTAGCTAAATTGTTAAGCATTTAGCAAGTATTAGGTGCCTAGTTAAGGCAAAAGTGGGAAATAATTATCTAATTGAAGTAGAGAGGTTGTTATCTTGCAGGCTCAAAGCAAAGAGGCGCAGTGGTTTGGGAAGCAAATAGGAAGAGACTAACTTGTTAAAGCAAGTTTCTGGATGTTAATTAAAAGTGCAGTTCAGTCAGAGGACAGATGGGAAAGTTTTCAAAATGATGTAAGAAAAAAAAATTAAGAATCCCTTTCTGTATGAGAGCAGCATCCTCCTGAAACATGGTAAGAAAGCTTGTGTCCTGCCAACAATTGTTATGTAGTCATTAGCATTCTTTCACGTCTATTTGAACTATACTACTAGACTAGAGTAATATTTTCCTAAGTTACGGTTATTTCAGGGCTTTGCATTTTGTTGCAATTATCCTGCTTCGCTGAGCATTCTATCAGTCTGTAAATAGTTCATTCTACACAGGGCATAGTGATTAGATCGTAGGCCGATTCTTAATCGTCAGACTAGTTAGTAATTTCCCACATTATCAAAATACAATTTCTTATGAGCGTGGAACCTTCAGTTGGTTCCAATTGGAAAGATACCATTCCCAAAGGGAACAATTCCTATGTATGTGTTCTTAACCTGTATATAGCCTTGAACCTGGCTTTCAAGATTGAAATATTTATTTTAACAAAAGAGAATAATATATAATACCTGGGTCAAACCACAATTTATCCCAGAAATTTATGGCAATTGATCTATTCTAGCTATTTATGGGCTGCTGCTGATAACTGAATAATTCAGGCTTCTAAATCTTTACCCTGACCTATACTGAAGAAATATGATTCTTTTTAACCAACTGAAGACAGGATTTCAATTTTGTGGTGTTATATGGAAGATTAATGGGAGAAGAGAGATTAAACATCTTATGCTGTTCCCTCTTTTGGTCATTCCCTAACAAAGAAATGGTCCAGTGGCCATTATCTGTTTTATTATTATTTTTATCTATTGATGTTGAAATAAATCTCTGTAATAAATCTCTATAAAACTCTACTAAAATTTACAGAAGAAAAATATGATGAGTTAGTATTTTCTTGAATTGTCCTCTTGAGTATTGTTTTAGATTAATATTCAGACAACTTTTATATGGGAAAGTTTTGGGGAGTAGTACCTGAACACGTCTGAAAACACTACATTGCCTAGTTCAAGTGTTTCGCAACATTCCCAAGTCCAGAGCCACATCAAACCATGAGTATTTTACCACTATAGTGTCTCTAAACTAATAATTGTGCTAACATTTTTGTCCTTGACTCAAGCCTCTGACAGCAGATTCCTCAATGCACTGAATTCTTGGCTTCACCACAACTATCGGCCCTCAAAGCCAACAAGGCAGAGCCATTTGTCTGGATTGTATATGGATCTTCCTACAGGATATCATAAGGGAAATACTGAGACTGCAATTGGAACTAATATTTAGTGGGTGCTTTTCTGAAGAGAAAAATTTCCTTTTTGGTCATATATGAGGCAGCATGGATTGCTACAGGTAGATAAACAAGGTAATACAAGAATACTTACAGCCTCCTTAACAAAGAACTGAATTATCTATGAGGTCAAAATAATAGGCCAGAACAAAAGGATCAATAGCACTAACTCTGGAAAATGAATATAATTTTCAAGGGGATTTCTGACTATATCATAGAATCAGAGAATGTAAGGATAAGAAGATGTATTGGTGGTTATATACTCCAAAAATTCTCCAGGCAGGAATCCACCACTACAACATTCCCAACAAATGGTCTCATCAAGCCTATTTAATCATTTCCAGTAGGGAAAGTCCTTTACCTCCTGAAACAATTTGTTCCACTGCTGAACAGCTCTTGTTGGGAATTAATTTCCTGATTCTCACCCCAAATCTCCTTCCTTATAATTGAAACCTTTGTTTCTCACCTTATCTTCTGGAAACTACACTCAATAATTTTGCCTTGTGGTTCATGTAGACATTAAGAATAATTAAAGTCCTTGCTTGTGGGCAAATGGTATTTCTTGCAGATATTCCAATGCATCATGAAAAAAACTAAAGTAGTCTGGGACTTTAGAATTCAAAAAGGCAAGCACCTGTGACATAACACCCCAGACCTAACAACTGTCAATAAAAAAGACAAAAAAAAGTCTGGATAGTGGGTGTTGCAGTACCTGGAGACAGCAGAATAGAAGAGAAAGAACTGGAGAAAATCGCAAAATACAGAAAACCTAGAAATAGAACAACTGTGGGAATAGAAAGCAAAAATAGGTGCCTTGGGAGCAATCCCAAAACAACTGGAGCACCATCAGCATTGTCAAAATCACCATCGGTCAATTGCAAAAAGCAGCTTTACTTGGGAGAGCTTGAATCTTATGATGATAACTTTAACTCCATCAAACAACTCCTGCCTATCTGCCTACCTGGTTCTTCCATAGGTGGATAATAATGCCAAATCCAGTCAAAACATCTGACTGACCGTGCAATTAATCATAATACTTCTATTCATAGTTACTCAGAAGTAAGCCCGAGTTGAGTAAACACGTACCCCAATCAAGTTAGAATTAAACAAACAAAAGATAACACCGCTCATAACGTATTATTTCTCTGTAGTTTTCCCCCTTCTGCAACTTCCTCTAAAAATCGCTCCTGCCGAGAAGAAAAACCGCACTCCCGCGTACAATTCAGCGACCTCTTCTCTCCCCCCTCCCCCACCCCCGTTTCTCTTCTTCCACCCGTCAGCCTCTCTCTTCGCTCCTTAAAGCGGCTTGGAACCGGGACTCCATTTCCCATCTTTCCTCAGGCGCGCTGTCCCTTCCGAGCTGCCGTAGCCGGGCGTGGGAGAGAGGCAGGGGAGGGGAAAATGTTGGAGGAAAGGCTGTGTGTTTACTTCCGGCCACCCTGAGAGCCGAGGGTGTGTGTCGCTCGCTTACTTCGGCTGGTTGGCTGAGGGCAACCCGGCGGGCGCTGCCTTGGGGGCGGGAACCCAGCGGAGCCGCCCGGAGGCGGGAGGGGGGGGGAGGAAAAAAAAATAACGGTGGTTTCGGACGGCGGCAGCAGCGGCAGCAGCAGCATCGACGCGAAGGAGGAGAGCGCAGGAGTCAGGCGGGACAAGGTCCGCGTTGGGACCGGCACCCATGAGTCACCTCCGAGGCCATTGCGGACGGTGAAGCGAGCTCCTCAAGGCAAGCAGGCAGGCAAGGACGTAGCCGGACCCGCCGCCTACTCGCTCGCTCGCCCGGCCCAGAGCACCGCAGTGGCGCCTTGCAGGAGGCGGCGTCATGGACTGGCTCATGGGGTGAGTAGCGCTGAGTGGGGTGGTGGTTTTTCTTTTTTTAGGGCAGAGTCTGCTTCCAGTTCGGTGATTCTGCCCCCACTTCTCCTCCTCTTCCTCCTCCTCCTCCTCGAGGGATGCCCCTGCTCGCCCAAAGTCTTCTCCCCACTCTTCCTCTCGTGGACTTGGTGGTGTTTGTGGGAAGACGCCGGGTCAGTTAGGCGCGCCGAAAGTTGGAAGTTTGTTCTTAAGAGTCCAAGTGTGGCCGGTGACTTCTTTCTTTGACACCCCTTCGGCTTGTTTTACTCCCGCACCCCACTCCCCCCATCTCGTCTCTCCGTTTAAAATCGTGGTGGTGTTTGAAAAGAAACAAACATGGAAGAAGATCCTATAGGGAAAGATGCAAATCTTTGCAGGGAATCGAAAGTCCATCAACAAGAACGAAAGTTGACTCTGGTTCATAACACGATGGTTAAATGTCGTGTTGTGAACTTCGGAGTTGGGGGATTCTTTTTCTTTGCTGTGCATCTTTTGAAGGGAGTCGTTTTTGAGTTTGTAAACAAGTACAAGCAGGGGACAGTGCTCCATTCTTGGGGAACTTGTGTGTGTAGGGTTTTGGTTTTTCGTTTCTAGCAAATTTTATTTAAGTAGGAAGGTGTGGTTATCATAGGCACCTTAACCATGACCTGGCTGCAGATTTCTAGGGAAGAATTGCCAAGCAGTGAGAACGTGGGCAAAATACACGAAAGGGTGTGGCGTGAGTGAAATGCACAGTGCTTACTTTAACCTGAGTAATAAATGGCTTCCTGCTGTGGCTAGTGTATTTAAAGTTTTCTGAGCAGTGAAAATGACATTTGATCAGATATCATTAACATAACCATTTTCTAAATTGAAAATACAAAGCATTACAACACTTGCTTCCGGATCTTGTGTTGCCAGAGAACAAGGAGTCCAAGAGAAGTACTGGTAGTAATACATAGCTGAGACTGAAGTGTGCTGTAATAACAGACTCCTGACTACTGATGCTTTAAAAAATAGCTTTTAAGAAATAGATGCAATACATGGAAAGAGTAGAAAGGGAATTATTTAAAAAAAATCAATGGAGTAATGTATTTCAACCTGACAACTGTCCAGAATATTATTAATATTAACATTATTGTTTCAATTGGGTTATTAGAAAGTGTTTAATACACACTGAGAACTGAAACATCTTCAAAGAAAAAACCAGAAAGTCAAGTTGCCTCTTGGAAAAAGCACCTTTGGGATGACCATGACCTGAATGACTGAGAATCTCCATAGACATTTAGTTAATACACAAATATTGCCTCAATTTATTGATACTGTAATAATTTGAATTTAGAGAATATCAGCCTCAGCCCATTTCTGTCTGTTTAGGTTTCTTTTCTTTTCTGTTGCACTTTAACCCACAGTTTATATGTATGTATGTATGTTAAAAGGTTGGTGAGAAAACCTTGACAGAGATTAAACCAAACATTGCCCACTGAAAAGGCAAGGTCAGTGTGTTGGTATTGTAATAGTCTATTACACAGAAGACAAAAAGTAGACTAACATCCTGTTTAGAGTACTGTTTATAGTAATTGTGTGTACATTCTTGATTTCTATGATTTACAAATATTAGTACTTCCAAATGCACCTACTAGGTAAGATGTTCTTCAGAAGCTCTTTAGGTTTATTCAGTATTTTGATCCTGCGCTACTCATCATGGCTTAATGACATATTTTAGAGAAAGGATTTCTGCAATTCTAGATCTAATTAGGGGGAAAACATTCTTATTTGTTATAGTAAGTTGAAAAAAGTATTATCCTGTTATATGGGAAATTGGCTGTTGATCAACTAAGTTGATGCCCATATATTTAACAGTAACTGATTGGATACTATGTTGTTGAAATGCTGGCAGCACCAATATTTTCTTATTGTCGTCAATTAGTCAAATTCACCCTCATATTATTCAAAAACTGTTCTCTCCTTAGGTATATGAGAATTTCATGATCTTGGAGCCTGTTTAAATGTATTTCTCTCATAACTCGAGTATTTGATTTTTGCTGATAGTACATGATACATTTTAATATTTACTTATATTGTCTGCTTTTTAAATGTTATTTCTCTATGATTTCTGCTTGGGTTGTTTTGGTTTTGAAGGAGAAGAATAGAAATTGCATTTACTTTTCAAACAACATATAATTTCTTCAAGGAAACAAGTTATTGGGACAAATCTTATCTGCAATGTTAAATTTAGTTATCTTTTTCAAAAGAAAGGAAACTTGTGTAATTTCTAATTTTCTTCTAATGTTATTGTATGTTAATAACTTTAAGATACATTTTTACTGGAACATACTTGGTGTTAACTTTCAAAAGCATTTATCTTTATAGCGTTTAGTACTTCTTTCTGTCAATCCTAAATATAATATTGGAATGTTTTATAATTTTATTTCATAAATTCTTATGATGGTATTAGGCCTTCAGTAACAAGAATAGATTAATTTTATAACCAGGAGTACTTGTTTCTCATTTCTGGTTTTCAGTATTCCAAGTTGATCTTCTTAGGAACTTTATGCTTTTTGAACTTGTGCTGAAACTCTGGATCCCAGATACCCAATGTTCAGATTTAATGCTTCTAGACTTTATAAGCATAATTAAAAGTGTCTACTTCCTTCTCTTGTCTTGAACTCTTTGTGCCTTTCCTCTTTAGCAATAAGCATAAAATTTAAAATAGTATCAGGAATGGAATATGTATAGGAGAGAATGAAGTGAAGTTGTCAAACACTTGCGATAGTGTTTCTAATCTCTTAATAATTAGGGTGTACTCTACATAAAATCTAAGAAGGAGAAGATCAAAGCTTAATGACATTATATAGCCAGTGTATTTTGCATTGTTCAGAAATATTTTGCTTGCATTATATTTACTTAATAAAAATAATTTATTAATGAATAATATGACAGCTAAAACGCACTCCCATAAGGTCCTTTGAGGATATGAGCCATCATAATGTAACAGTCAAAAAAATTTCTGATTGTACAAGATAAATATCCTATACTTTGCTGCTGAACAGACTCATGTTAAAATTTCTAGCTGTATAGGCAAATCCAATTGCATACATATAGTAGTACACTGTGTAGTAAATTTATCCCTTTAAACCACAGGGTCTTTTAATGAGACTACTGTGCATAGAAAATATAATGTGCAGCTTTAATTAATATCAACAAGTGCATCTGTTTTGCATTTCATTTTGATATAATTTGAATGTTTTTTGCATTTTTTTTTTTGAAGAAAAAAAAGTTTCTCTGAAAGGTGGCTAGTTTGTTACTTTTTTAATTGTATAGTCATAAATATGCCTACTGGGAAACAAGGATTAAAAAACACACAACTGCTAAATAAATCTGTGCTTCTGAATATGAAAGTATGATTATACCATCATAGGATCTCCTGCAGTGTAACAGAAGGAAGTCTCATTTTTTCAGATATTTTAAGTACAATTAGCCTAAGAGTATGGGTTGTCAGTCCTCTGGGACAGATTTGGGGGTGCCCGAGGTAGTGACTTAATGGAAAGGAAGAATTGATCTGCCAGTAGTATCCATTCCACTGACAAACAATACAACCATAACATTTGGATTATATTCATTCATTTAGACAGTCCCAAAGGCAGTTATTAGAAAGTAGGCCCATTTCTAGATTAACATTGCCATTCTGTGAATGTTTATCTAGTATATTTTTTTTAGCATTTATTAGCAACATAGTTTAAAAAACCTTGACACAAAGCACAAAAATGGCAGCTAGGTTTAAGAGGCATATCTTTAAGCACTGTTTAGTTACCAAGGCTACTAGTCATTGATAAACTCTGTTCATTAATTTCTTTGACTTGGAACTTTTAACATACTTTAATCACAGCAAATTCCTATATACTAATTAATCACACATTATGTAGAGTACCTTTTTTCTGACCTTAGTATATAATTAATCTGTAGCATATTCAATTAGTCTAAGTATAAAAAATTATGAAGAAAAATTATATCACAAATAATAGAAACTGTTAAAACAAAGTTGATATCTCTTTAACAGTAGCAAATTAAGTAACAGTTAATATTAAAGTATTTCTGGATTCTTTTTTTGCTTTTGATTTTATCAGTCATTCATTTCAAAAAAGGAAAGTAAACCTTGGGACCACTATGCAAATGGAAGAAATAGTATGTTTCAATTTGTAATACAAATATTAAAATCTATAGCTATATTGTCTTACAATATTACTCGTTGCTGTACTTCACTTATGCTATATTATGCTCTGCTATAGTTGGGGTGAAATTGCTTGCAGGAGGTGCAGGCTTTCTCTTTCATTCTGCAGCTTATGGATTCTCAAGTACATTTTGAAAGCGTTTTAGGATCTAAAGAGAGAACAATCAATCCTTCCCCAGCTTTGTCAGTGAAAACCGCTTTAATGGAATTGTACACTTAGCTTGTACTTTTTATATGATTGCCAGCATTTCAATAGTGCAGAGATGATTTATAAAATTTGATTAGTTTCATTCATATTTAATTAAGTTCTTCATTTTTTCCTTCTTTTTTTAAAAAAAAAACTTTAACGAAGTGATGGCCTAGAATCCTAAAGCCATTTTCCATTCACACTTATACTTAATTTTATAGCACTGTTCTGTCTGTTTTTGAACAGTCTGATATTTCTTGCATTGTTCCATCAGATGGGAATAATTTACAGCTGCTGCTTCTTTACACCACTTTGTTCTAAGATAGTCATTTAGCATTTTTTCTAGTTCTAAATATGCCTCAGGGCATCAATTTCCAGCAGGAGCAGGGAAGCAACATGTAATCCTATGTCTTGAACTGAATTTCTTTGGTTACATTTCAATAATTTTCAGGTAATAAAAACAAGTTCAGGCAATAAAAGTAGAACTCACATCATAAATTTCCATTTTGTAAGTTGCAATGTCAGATAAGCAAAGAGCCAGTCATTACCTCTAATGAGGAAGCTTTTAGCATGTGGAATATAGCAACC